ATGCCTAGCTTACCCAAACTGTTTGTCATTCAGTTGTAAGCAAGGAGTATCTGTTGTGGAGCTGTAAGGTGGGAATGCAAAATAAAACATGGTGAGTAGTGGGAATGCAGGAATCAGTGCAAGTCTTTACCGCTGCGCTGGTAATCTGGGCAGCGGGAGCCGCTGCCATTCGTCTCGCTCCAGAGCGGCAGGCTGTGACGACAGCAGGTTGTGCTGCCTATTGACCCAGGAAACGTTTGGTGCGGTTCCCACGCGCGCTCTGTGCCGTTTGTGGAGCATTTTAACATCGGGGGGGGAAAGCTTAATCAAAAATGACAAAACTCACTTTAATTATTTTTTAAAAAAAAGACAGGAAGGTGTGAAAGCTGCAACTGGAGGAAAAATTGTATTTGCCCCTCACAGTAAGATTCATTAACTCCTAATAAAAGTACAACAAAAAGCATGACAATTAACTACTTAGAAAAAACTAACAGAATAACCTGAATTAATTAACCTCTCTCCTATTAGAAGTATATTTATTGGAATTACTATTCCAGAGGTTAAAAAAATAATGCTGAGGCACTAGATTTGCATACAGAATACTGGATTGTGTCCTGGATATTATAAATAGACTCCATAAGGTCTCACTGCTTGTAAGAGGAGGCACGGCAAGCTTTGGCAAGCATGAAGGTAATGTTTATTTCTGTCTTGCTGAACTTCAGCTTTACTACTCTCTCTTCTGGCTGCAGCTTTACCCTTTCTTTGTACTGACACATCTAGACGACTACACGTGCTTTAAAGCCAGGGAGGGCAGGAGTTTTCTAGTATAACTCAAAGGACTTCCAGCACCAAATTACAACTGGCTCTATTGAAAAGAAAATGCAAATTTAAATAAATGAGGGAATCGCACTAACTCATCTTTTATGAGATGCAAATTCTTAGGTAATTGTTAAATCAGCTGAACAAGTGTTTGGTTTGAGGGAGTTTGCTGGGCAGCCTGGCCTTGGGAACAGGTCTGAGGAACCGTTTGGCACCTCGCGTTGCTGCTTTTCTCCCCGTTTGTTACAGCACTCCCAGCAGAACGGCCTGCGCGCCTGCTCCTCGGAGAAGCCAAGTGGCTTGGCTCCAGACGGGGTCCAGGACACACAGGAGCTGGCAGTCTTTCCGAGAGAAATGCTCTCGTTGGTAGCTCACCACGGCCTGCCGGCGGCAGCACTGCCCTCAGCCAGCTTCTGCTGCCTCTCGAGCTGTTCTGTGCTGGCCGAGCCGCTGCGCTTCTGGTGGAGCAGCACGGGTGCCCTTCATCATCCCCTTGGTGGACCTGCAGTCTCTTCCGTGGTTTAAATCAGTTCAAAAAGCAGAGTTATATTGGGCTGAGTTAAACTCTGCCCGGTACTTCAAGGCAATTCAAGCCATTTGCAAGTTGTTTGAGTATTGGGGCATAAAGAATTGCTAGACCTGGTGGATACTTTGAGTGGGCAGAGTGCTGAGCAGTGTAAGGTGGAAGAGATTTGGTCTGAGTGAAACCGTACTACCTTTGGTTTATTCTCCTGACTTCTGATACATCTCGCTTCTTTGTTAACTCTTCAAATAAATCATAAAAAATTGGCTCTATAAAGTGGCATATTCTGAAAAACAGGTGATTTTGTATGTATATTGTCAAGTGATTATTGATAGCTTTGAAGTTCAGCACACCTTTCAGTGCAATTCAGAGCTAGAGATGTGACCTCTGTCAACTGTTAAATTAAGAAATATTTTAGGAAATATTTTAAGAGCATTAACAGCAATACCAGTCTTAGTCCATCCTCCCTGCAGAGTAGTATACCACTCTCTTTAATGGACTGTTCTGGCAGCCATAGTATGGAGACTCCTCGTGCACCCGAAGCAAACCAGCAAAAGGCACAGAAGTGAGGAGAAGGGAGAGGCTGAAGGCTGGAAATCAGTGCTGAAGTCCGAAACCTGCAGTAACTGAAATTCTGATAGTGCTGGCCTGCCCCAGCACGCAGAGGCTGAGGGTAGGGGCTGGCTGGACGCAGAGCGCCTGCCGCCACCGCTCTGCTCTCCCTGGTGTGATGGCTGCGGCCTTCCAGATTGAGGAGCTGTCAAACTTGGCACCAGCCGCCCCCCTCTCCCCACCCCAGAAGCCGTTAATGCAGACGGGTACCACTGGTGATGGCTGGGGATTGTTCTCTTGCAGCTGTGAATCCAGTAGCAGGCAGCTCTAAGGCCCTGTGTGTCTGTCCCTTGATCTGCTTAAATAGGAGTTTGGGTTTTAAAATGTTTTTTTTCTGGTTTTCAGTTTCTTTTCCCAAGAAAGGTTGGATCAGATGATCCTTGTGGTCCCTTCCAACCTGGTATTCTGAGACTCTATTTACTGTTTAGCAGATGCTAGCCTCTAAATTTCTTCATTCGCTTTGATAATCTGTTCCCTCTAATGGGTGTCTCTTTTTTTTTTTTTTTTTTTTTTTTTTTTTTTTTTTTTTTTTTTTTCTTTTTTTTTTTTTCCTTCCTTTTGCTAATCTTACTTGCTCCTTTTATATTTTGTTTTTTGTTTGACTCTATTCAGGTCTTCACTTAGTCACCCTGAAATGATGGTTCCTTGCCATTCTGTGTGGTCATGGTTTTCCCCGGTCGTACCTCGGAATGGTGTCCTGTCACTGCCTGTTGCAGAAGAGAGTTCTGTTCATTCTCGTGTCATGTCTTGCCATTCAGCACAGTGTCACAGGGAGATCCCAGCTTCTGATTCCCAAGCTGATGTAGGAGCATGTAACCTGCCCTTATCCCCTCCTGCGCTCTCTGCTTCGTTCCCATCAACTGTAGGGGACCATACAGTGTCTCCCACAGCTTTCTCCAGCTGTAGAGCAAAACTCTGTAGCGTAACCGTGTGTGTCTCGGGGGAAAAAGGTGTGTGTCACCTTTGGTCTTCATTACAGGCACAGAAATGTTTGGTTTCCACAGGCAGTCTTACTGACGTTTCATGCCAGACATCTGGCTTTGGTCCAGATCCAGTCACTTCCCCTCAGAGCATGAGCCCCTTCGCAGAGCTCCGCAGTCCTTCATTCGCTGCATCTCTGGGACAGATCGTGGAAAAAGGTGCTGTGTGTTACAAATATTCTTCAATGGGAGGGACGGGAGACAGATCTGCTTTTTTTTTTTTTCTCAGTGTACAGAATGTGAAGCAGTGTGCTGTCCATTACCTTGTTTGGAAAACTTTTAAGTTAAAATCCCCTAGAAGTTGGAGCGGCCCCTTTTTATAGAGCGTTCAAGACCAGTGACTGACGTCCTCGTTCAGTAGATGGCTGAGGAGTGGGCTTTTGACAGAGGGCTTTGGAATAGCTCAGAAGAATGAGAGAGGAGTTGATGCTGCTTGTGTCTAGTTAGCGTTAGTCCGAAGCGTGAGCTGCAGCTGCATTAAATCTGCTGGCTGAGCTATGAAGTAATTCTGGTGTTTTGGTTTGTGGATTTTAACCCAAGTAGCAACGTGCAGCCAGCTGAGAGAGGAAAAGTTCACAGTAGCTAATTTTAGGCATCTAATTTAGATGTTCTGGATCTCTTTGCATTCTCCATTACTTAAACAGAGCCCAGACATTGATAGCGGTGTCAGTGAGAACTACCTGGTATGAGTTCTTTGTGGGATTAAATTGGTTTGCAGGTGTAAGCTTGCTGTCATCTCAGAATCCAAACAAATGCGGGTCTCTGTCATCCCATCCCCCTTCACCCCCAGTAGGCTTTGGAGGTTACAGAGCTTCAGCAGAATTGTGACAGGAGTTTTGGGGTACAGGAAGATTCATATTCAGCAGCGATGCTGAAAGGCTCAGAGCACTTAGACTGAATTTTGAAACTTCTGTCTGGTTTACAGGACAGTCTCCTGAGTCACTAAGAGAGCTTTCCACTACGTTATTATAAAGATGGATATTTGTAGCCTCCTAATATATTGGGAGGGTGTTTACTACCCATGGAAGTGCTTAGTGCTTTTGAATGTGGGCATTCTACAGACTCACAATTTAATTGCCAGCAATTCTTTTAATATACCAGCTTTGAAAACAGCTAGGCGTTTCCTGCTCTGCGTGTAGACTGTGACTAAGTTAGAACTCCTTTCCACAAGTGAGGCTAAACATTAATTTTTCATGTCTGGAAAGAAATAGTGCCAGACTAATACCTTATTGTGAAGCCACAGGTCTTGCTGCTCTCCACAGTTCGCAGGAGGGAAGTTTACGTGTCTCCTTCCAGAACTGAAACTCCCAGCCACACCGGAACAAAAATGGAGGGGAAGTTGGACAAACCTCGCTGTTTCTGGAAGGTCGTGATCACAAAGGTGTCTTGTGTATGAGGAGAGTGCATTAGGATGCTGTGCATGAGCAAATATCATGATGGTTTGTCTTTCCTCACCTTTTTGTACATTTCATTGTGAGTTGTTTTGCTAGTATGGAGAAAAGGCTGAAATACTCCACTGGGAAATAAGGCTGGGGCTTGTACACATAAGAAAAAGATATGACATATAATAAAAAAAAGCTTTAAAAATTCAAAGTTAATGTGGTGACCAAGAACCTGCAAAGGCTTGCTTTGGGTTTTTTCTAAAAGTTTTACACTCACTTGGAAATACAGAGCAAATGTAGATGAGTGAAGTACGTTGAGCAGAACACAGAGTGATTGGTTTGGAAGGAATTTTGTGGTTTACCTCTAGTCTAGTAATTTTTTGTTGTTGTTGTTTTACCTGCTTTGGGATAGTATAGTGCTGAGGATACTGGATGGAATTATTTTGGGGATTGATGTGCTTCAGTTAAACATGCCGGTAAGGAAAACTGGTTTTAATTCATACTTTTATATATAAAAAAGTATAGTGCTCTTAAGAAAAAAAAAAGTCGATTCATCATATCCCAGATTTTTTAACTTTTTTTAACTTGGAAACTATTTGAAGAAAGCTGCTATATTTTTGTCCTGGTGTGCCCCCTTCCCGTCCCGATTTCCATCTAGCATGCTGGCCATAGGTGTTGGTGACGTGCTATTGCAGAGCTGACTTAAAACGTCAAGCTGCGTTTTCCAGTCGGTAGTGGACGGGACAGAGGGGCGTTCTCCACCGCGTGGGCATTTTACCTCTGCTCCCTGTACCCTTTGTCTAAGACCACAGAACTTGGCTGGTGTCGGTGTTTGGGCATGTTTGCGCAGCTCTTAACATGAAGGAGCCCGGGATTATGTTGGGCTGGATGCGCTGCGGGTCGGCAGCAGCTCTGTCAGCACAGGACGTTGACTTTGCATGCGTGTTAAAGCAAAAATGGTGCAGGGTGGATTTTCAGCGAGTATTTCAGTAGATGCTTTGGTGTACCTGGGAGAAATCAATAATATCTTTTTCTCTTTCTGAAACTAAATGGAAAAGTGATTTTTGTGACTTTGAAATAATTGTCTGTGTTAAGGAGTCATTGGTATCTGCCAGGGTGTTTGCTGATGTCTGGAAGGGCGACAACGATCCGTGCTAGAACGGCTTTCGGATTCCTGTGGTGGTACAGTACGAGTTATCAAGCGTTTCACTGGTTGCTTACCTCATTGATTCGTTTCTTTTTTTCCTTGGTTTACTGCTTCCCCGTGGTGTCCCTTGAAACACCTGGGGTTTTTATTGCGTATAATTGAGTGATAATGCAATGTAGGGATTTTTTTAATTCTAGCACTATTGTCAGTCTTGGAGTAGAGTTGAATAAAGATTGCATCTCCAGCTAGTTCACTGGCTTTCTCATTTTAGTGCAAAGTTCTTTGCTTATGTCACGATACTCAGTATTTGTATCTGTGGAACCTCTCAGCCAGGCAGCCGTTTGTGATGGCTTATCGTTCATACATTCACACCGTTTAGGCACATATCGGGCACAAAGCAGACATCTAATCGTGGAAGAAATCAGCTGATCAGTGTTAGAGCCCACCAGCAATATTAGCCACGTACACAGAGATTTCTTTTTTTGACGTTGAATCTCAATTCTCGTACGTCTTGTTTTCCCAGTGACTGTCAGGCAGGAAGAACGAGTTGCTTTAACACGTTTTCACAATTACCACATGCCTGTGTTGCAGAAGTTGGTACAAAAGGCCTTGTTTGTTTTTTTTTTTTCCTTAAGAAAGAAGAAAGTTCCACAGGAAAAAAAAGCCTTACGCGGACTAGCTCGTACGCTTTCTGTGTGTGTAACGATTGTCTGTCTGTCTGAGGACCTAAGCAGGTACAAGACACTGCATCAGGGAGGTGCGAAAGCTTTGGAGAAGTGAAACTGTGTGTCAGCATTACAGGTTGTCATGTTTCTTCTTGTCTGTCATGGAAAGTATGTTTAAGACATGGTTAAAATTACATGCAAGGTTCCCTGTGCGTTCTTTTGACTTGCTTGGGATGAGAAATCTGAACGGGATTCACTGGGAAGTCAGCGAGCTGGAAACTGGTCTGTTTGTAGCCCTCTGAGTGTTTGTCATCATCTCCCGAGTCCCGCTTAGCTACAGCGGGGGAAGGACAGGTCTGGGTTCGGCGTGTCGGTCATCTGAGTCTTCCCTCGCCTGGCAGGGGAGGGACAGAGGCCCCATTCCCGTGCAAGCTGACACATCTCCTGTGAGTGTTTAAACTTGGGCATTTTGCTGCTTGTTTTAACGCTGGAGGTTGGTGAAATCTTACTGCTGTGCTCAGGGTGTAGGTGTGGCTTTGACAAGTGGATCTTTATGGTAATTGGAAATACATAGCTTTTCTGTTTGTATTTTTGGATTGAACACACATTGTACCACTCTTATTTATATATCTGTGTGTATAAAATACATAATAAAATATAGATATTTAAGGACATGTGTGTGTATATGTGTGTATATAGATATCTTAAGATTCTCTCAGTGCTGTGCTAATAGAAGCCCATAATGATGAAGGGGGAGGTTTGCGAAGAGCTGTGTGGTTGGTGACTCGAGTCCTTGTGAGGCGGCGGGCGCTGTCGCTGGGCGGTGCGGTGGTGGGTGAGCATCGCTGTGAGCGGAGCTGGGGAGAGCTGGGGAGACTGGTTAGAAACCAGCAAGATGATTCGTTTCTGAAAGTGGATCCACTGCAGAAAGACTGGTGTTTCCAGTATGGAGAGTGTGCACCGAGGGTGTGGGGTTTGTTCTGACGTTGTGGGTCTGTTGAGGGTTTGGGATTAGCCATCACCCTGTTCTTTACCGCAGTTCTTCCCATAACCTTTCCAAGAAAGGTGAGTACAGGCACAGATGTGGCCAGAAGCAGGTTAGTAATGCGGCTTCAAAGGATGGGATAATCTGTAGAAAGACTTTTTTTAATCAAAGAAGGTAAATCATGATCTTTATACACTAGGAAAAAACTGTTTCAAGGACATCTGTTAATAAAAGATGAAATATGAATTATATATTGGAAAAACTGCTTAGATTCCTAATCACCTTCCTCATAAGAGTGGGGCATTATTGGAAGGAATTTAAAAGATAGCCTATCAAAATCAATACAGGGAAGTAGTTTTCATCTAGCCTGCAATTGCAAACTCTGAAACTAATCGGTATCACGTACTTCAAATCTTGCAGATTTTATAATGAAACCCGTGCATCGCTAGCGAGCAACAGTATGGATGGATGTTTACTTACGGTTTTATGCCGAGTGGCTTGTTGGTTTTGTTACCATATGCCTAGAACCTGTGACAGACATTTATAGCCCCTTATCTCTCTGCTCCTTGGTTAGAGATTGTTTAATGACAATTAGTTCTTTATTGCCACCTCCAAAGATTAATTGTGGCGTGCAGTGGTGAGTAAATACTGGTGGTTGTCAAGGTTCAGTCCCAAGGGCACTTCAGTCCGTTCAAACTGGAGGTCCTGCAGTCTTCTCCTCTGCTCTCCCGTTCCCCCAGCTGCAGTCGCCCTTGCACACAGGCTGATGCTGCTGCAGAGAGCTGCAGTTTGGGAAGCTCAACTGAAAGAGTTTTCTTTCCTCTCCCTGCCCTTGGCAGAGGGGGGACGCCCGATTCGGGTTCCTGAGCTCGCTGCGCGAGTGCTCAGCTGCAGGGAAAGGCAGGCGTGCGCAGCCTCGCCGGGGGCGGTGCGAGCGGCGGTGCTGCTCCGAGGCGACACCGCCTGTGAACCCCTTGTGATGGGATTCCTGCTTTGGGAAGCCCTGGGCAGGCTCAGCATTTACCCTCTACAGCTGGAGTACATGGCTTGGGTTCTTAAAACGACATGCCTTCTCCTGTGTGGTTAAAGGTCCTCAAAAGCTTAAACTGAGAAATGAGGAAATGTTTTAGATTGTAAATAAAATTTTGTTAGGCTTTAAAACGTGGCTTAATTTCTGGGTACTGATTATGTAAATCGCAAAGTTGTGTTGTTGCATTAACACAAGATGTAATTTTGCTTTGTGTTTGAAACATCTTGATTTGCTTTACACATTACAGTGCTCTTTTATTTCTGTTCTGTTTACAGCCGATATTATTTCAACAGTTGAATTTAATTACTCTGGTGATCTTCTTGCAACAGGAGACAAAGGTGGCAGAGTGGTTATATTTCAAAGGGAACAAGAGGTCAGTGACTTGGAAAACAAAAGCGCTGTTACTACACTGTTCTTGGGTTGCACAGTCTCACTTCGTCTTTTCATGCTGCGAGGTTTGAGTGGTTGGGTAGCTTTCTCAGAAAACCCTAAGTTAGCCAGATTTCTAAATGTCTGCCTTGTGCTGAACTTCAGTGGTGGTTCCCATCCCCCCTTTCAAAAAAAAAAAAAAAAACAAAAAAAAACCCCACTCCCAAAAATAGAAGTGAGTTCTTGATCTGTGTACTGAGGATGCTCAGCATCGTGCAGAATTGCCTTTGGACTTTCTCCTGCACTTCACGCTTGGTCAGGTTGATCCAAGACAAACTGTAATGGTTTTGAACATAAGGTAAGGAAAGTTTATAAAAAAGAATGCAAGTTAAGCTGCAAGGACAACAGGGCAAGGTTGTTCAAAAATGGAAGAATTAAGGATCCAGTGTGTTTTGGGATCCTATGAATTCAAAGGGTGGGAACAGCTACTTCTCCAGAAACACTTGAACGTTTTCAGTGCAGTGGAGGAAGGCTCTCCCGCCCGCAGTCACACAGCTGTTCAGCTGGCGCTCTGCAGTGGTGTTCAGGTGGGTGATAGTGCTGCAGCGCGTGCTGTCCCTTCACCAGTGCAGACACGTCGCCGAGCTGTTCGTATCCAGAACAACGGTGCGTATTGGAAAAGTGCTGAAAAACAATTGTCACGCCTTGTTGTGTCTGGGAGAAACCTGGAATTGTGTTCTTTGAAATGCAGTGTCCCACCTGGCAATTCTCACCCTTTTCCCTGCCCCGAAGGGCATGTTTCTCCTTTCCTTTGGAGTGCTGATGAGAATTTGAGCCTTCTCCTGGATCAGAAATACCAAAACCCGCGGTGGGATTTTAATTCAGCTTGTTTGTGCATGAAGTACACTAATCTTTAGGTGCTCTGGGTTGTTTTTTTTCAGCAGAATGCCACTTCTTTCCTTTTGTGGTTCAGATGTTAATGAACAGCTAACGAGCAGCCATCCAATATTTTGCATTTCATCCTCACTGTGATACTATTTATAAAACATTTTACCAAAGGTGACTTACTGGTTTTACTGTGAGGATTTTGGGAGGTAGTGAAATGAAAATACTATTGCTGAGAAGTTGCTGAAATACTATACAGCTACACCTAGGCAGCTCACAGCTCCTTTGTCGTTTAGTCTGCGGTAACTAAGGCACAGAGAGATCAAGGTCAGAAATGTCCACCTGCTCTGGATCTCTGACTTCCTTGGTGCATGTTTAGAGTGGCACTATTATCAGCTGGCTTTCAGCTGTTCGTGCTCAGTTGTTCTGCAAGTCAAAACCCGCCTGTCACGTCGTTTCCCCATAGCGGGGGAAAACGACAACAAAAAACAACAACAAAAAAAACCCAAAACAACCAAAAAAAACCCCTAACAAACCACAACCCAAACCACGAGGTCAGACTATTCACACTGGAATATTCAGCTGTCTTTTTGGGAGCACATGCAAACTGTAGGGAAGAGTTGGGCATAAGGGTCGTTTCTCTTGTCGTGTGTAAAACTGCAGAATTTCTGGAGTGGAGGGAGAAACCTAAAATGAGTATATAGTTCTGGAACCTTAATGAAGTCTTAGAAGGAATGTTTTCTTTGGATTTTAGACCAGGTTAAGTAGGTTACTAACAACTTAGGATAGCTATAAAATTTCCCATACACGTTACTTTGGGAAGGTGGGCTGAAATGTTGTGCATCATGCCCTGAACTCCTAGGACATTATTTCAGTTTCGAGCAGCTGATTATTCCGACCAAATGTGCGAGTAAAGAGCAGGACCGCAGAGAAGGCAGCTCGCTCGGAATGCGGGTGGCGAGGTGAGCAGTGCAGATAACTGTGCTGGATAGCGTTGGCTGAGGGGATCCTGTCCAAAATGCTTCGAAGGTAAATGACAAGTAGGAAGTAAAACAACACAAAGTCTCAGAATTAAGTAAAACTCTGTACCTGTGAGACATTGCAGGAAAACCCCCGGCTGAAATCACCCCATCGAAGGCGCCAGGTCAGGCGTGGAAGCGCACGAAGTGCCAGAGCAGAGGTTGCCTTCGCAGCCTGGCGCTGGCCTGGGAGGCCGCGGGGCTGCGGGTGCCGCTGAGCCGTTGGAGTGTGTGGTGGGGACTCCTGCAGAAGCTCTGGGCACTGCAGCTCTAGAAGTGGGGCTGTTCTCCAAACGGGAATCGCTATCTAACATGAACTTCCGTGAGAAGCCTGGTAACGGGTTGCCTCAAAGCTGATACTGCACATCTGTGGATACCTGTGCCTTTGATCTCTGTTCCTTGCTACCGCATCTGCCAAAGGAGGGTGATACAAAGCGGTCCTCTAGTTCTGTGAGGGCAGGAGTTGTTAGTGTGTTTGTGACAGTCTTTAGTACATCACGATGAGCGCTGTAGAACGGCTCAGATGAAAATGTGGTGACTCCAGCCTTCAAGTTTTTATAATAGAAAAGCTTGGGAAAGCTGAATGACCAGCCTTGGTAGCACTGCTGGACGCAGCATGTTTTAAAACGAGTAGAAGAGGAGCTACATCTGATGCTCATCCTTGATCTCGCTGTGCCTTCAGCAGGGTGACTTGGTGCAATCGTGTTTTTTATAAACCATACGCAGTGACTCCACGTCCTGTGTCCTTTAACACTTCTTTCCTAGTCTGAAAACCCCGCATTATGGCCATTTTGTGGTGGCTAGAGGAACAAGTTTTGGAAAAGGACGGGGATGGAGATGAGGTGAAGTGCAGACACGAATCACGTGGAGCTGGTGGGGTAGGAACTAGGACGCAGCTGAGTTCCCAGCTCCGGTTCTGTTGGAACCGCCTGGGAGAGGTCCCGTCACCTCGAGCTCTGCCAGGCCAAGGCAGGCGCTCCGGCGCGGGCAGCAAGTGCCTCTGCAGTGCCTTGCCCTGCCGTGCTCTGTGAGTGCACGCGTGTGTACGTGTAAAGGTGTGCTTTTAAAAAGGAAGGCGCTGTGTTGGTGCTAGACTGGGTACAGTGTCATAGAGCAAAAATGTAAAATTCATCAAGATCTGTTGTAAAAAGTTTACTTTATCGTTGACAATTTTAGTCGTTAATTTGTATGTACAATTCCTAATGAACTGAGTAACATCAGCCTCAAGAAATATTATGTTTCCTTGCAGAATAAAAGCCGTCCTCATTCTAGGGGAGAATATAATGTTTACAGCACCTTTCAGAGTCACGAGCCTGAGTTTGACTACTTGAAAAGTCTAGAAATTGAGGAAAAAATTAATAAAATTAGGTGGTTACCACAACAGAATGCTGCTCATTTCCTGCTGTCTACAAATGGTAAGGACGCTTCATTTTTGCACAAAGAACTTTTTCTGTCGTTTGAATATTGTCTCACCTGTGATCCACTTGCGCGTTCTTTTCTGGAGGGATTTGGGGTTGTTTTAATGCCTTGTCTAACTGACGTGCAAAATGTGTTTTGATTGTAATACCCTGCAAGTTGCTGATTCACGAATGTCACAACCACGAAGCAGCGGCAGAGCGGGCGTAGGCAGGAGCTGCGTTCCGTGCGTGTGCCGGCCACGCTGCCGCTTGGCATACCCCGATGCTCTGCTCCAGCGCGTTGGGATAAACAGGTTCCCAGCGCGCTGAACCGTAGCAGAAGTCTGAATTTGACCTGATCCATCCCAGTTTTGAAATTCAATGTTTTTGTGCTCCCAGATAAATTTTTAGTAGAAACATTTGGAATTGAAGCACTGTGGTTACAATGCTCTCTTTGCTTTTGCGGTACCAAGAGGTGGCGTGTGCTTGGCAAAGCAGCTGTCCGAAAGACCGCAGGCGCTCTAGGAGGAGCGTGTTTGTCCCATTCTCACCTGTGCCTTAGAATGCATGAAAGCAGCGCCAGAATGACAGGTTGGAAATGACAAGTTTTGCGCACTTGGTTTCTCTTGTGTCTGCCAGTGTTTTAGTGGTGGTCCCGAGGTAGTGGGGCGACAGGTGTGAGCACTAGGTCTGCTCCACTTTGATGCATCGTGGAGCAAGCTGTAAATGTACCTGCCGAGCTGTGCATGGAGAAACCTGCCGCTCGTGTCAGAGGAATGCGCTTGTTCCCAGCAGTTTGGATCCCTTTTGGTCTGTACTTTGTCAGTGACTCTGGGAGAGGGCTGCTGTCCTGCCTGCTCGGTGGGATTTTAACAGCCGGAACGACTTCTGTCTGCTGGCCTTTGAAATGAAAATAATCTTACTTTGATAGGATCTCACTGAACTCGAAGCAGTCTCTACATGGTGTCATCTTAAATGCTTTAAAGGTAGATGGTAGTTTGGGGCAGAGAGGTTTGTTTGCAGTTAGCTAAGGATCTCCCTCTTGGTGCACCCCTGCTTGCTGTCCCCGGTGGGCGCTGGGAGGTGCGTGCCCGTGGACGTGGGGCCCCAAAGGGACGGGGCAAGTCCTGTTCTCACTTGCTGCCTTCGGCCGTCTCTTCGCTTGGGTTTCCTTAGGGTGATGTAAGTCATTCCTGGGTTTGCTGGGGTTTCTCCCTAGCGTTTGTCTGTTAACAAGAATTCAGATGGTCCCACAGGGCTTATTAGGGAATTTTGTTAATTGGAGTATGAAACCTCCCTTGCGAAGGGTCGGTTTGGGGAACGGCAGGCGCAGGGCCCGGTGTTAAGGCAGAAACTTGTCTTTTATTCAGACGGAACATGGCATTGGAATTAGAACACAAGCCGTCTTTTCTTTTCCGCTGATGTGGTTTTGCTGCTGTTCTTGTGTGTTTCCCACCCGCACCCTCCAAGTGCACGTCTCTGGTGTGCTTTGTGGTGTTTGCCGTGTATCAGTTCTGCTGAACAGCACGGCTGAAGGCAAAGCACTTGCAGAGTGCGTAGGGAGGGCTGTACTCCGTATGGCGTTGGTGTTTAAAGGACTCCCTCAGGGTCCTTTCTGTTGCAAGCAGTGGAAACCTAAATAGATAAATAATATCCGCTCTGCTGACTCCATTATTTAGTGATTTTATTTTGAATTTAATTCATTCTCAAGCATGTGAATTTTTGGTTTTAGATAAAACTATTAAATTATGGAAAATAAGTGAAAGGGATAAAAGAGCCGAAGGTTATAATTTAAAAGACGAAGATGGAAGACTTAGGGATCCTTTCAGAATCACAGCACTACGGGTATGTTTCTGCTCTTTGACTTTAAATATCTTTTTGCATGTACTTCTCTACCTCTTTGCTACCAAAGTTGTCAACTGAAATGCATAGATTAAAAATGATGTTTTGGTCAGGGTCACTTATAAAACACGGAGATGCTGTATGTATAACTATTAAATAAGGTTCCTCTGGAATACCTGAGGGAAACTTCCATGATTATAATACTTTATTATTACCTTCACAATAGTTCGTTGTCGGTTGTTTTGTTTTCTCTTGGAACACCTTAGCATATTTAAAATGGATTTGAAATTTAAAATGTTTTTTAAAATCAAAATTTTTTTTTGAGACAGCAGTCATCCACCCAAGTGTATTCAGATATTAGAAGAAGATATGTTGATTTATTGACAGCAATAAAACAGAACAAAATGTTGTTACTCAAGCCTGAGAGTACAGCATTTTGGAGCATCTCTGGCTGGGGCTGTACTGCTCTCTGCTCGGTTCATGGAAAGCAGGGACTCCTCCTGCTGTGTTCCTGAACTAGTCTAATGCCTCAGCGCACCGTGAAGAGGAGCACAGGGAGCACGCTTGTTTGAGACCCGTAACACACCAACTTCTCGTACTGGGCACCACTGGTCAGCCGAGGACAGTGCCGCAGGGCAGGAGGGGCCTGGTAACCTTGGTGTCCTCCCTCGGTGCTGCTCGGTCAGGCTGCCAGGTCGGGCCCTTCTCTTCGGCTTAAAGCTCGTGCCAGCGTGAATTTAGGAAGAATCTGGCTTTGATTGTATTGATAATTCTTTTTTGTTTTGGTTTTTTCCCCCCTCCATATTGCTGATGTTTAACTTGTTCAGTCTTTTTTTCTGAGAACCCAACTCAAAAATGTAAACGGGCTGCTGGGTATCAATGGAAGGTGGTTTGTTAGAGGCAAGTTCTGAGCATTTGGAAAAGCTAATGCAGGCTTGAACAGCGTTGGGGCTTTTCCACATGCATGGTGATGCAGCGGTAGGGTTAGTGCTCCAGACTTGGCCTCATTTAAAGCAGGAGCTCAAGAAGTTAAATCATGTCGGGTTTGGGGTTTTTCTTGGGGTTTTTATGCATATATAGGAGTTGAAGTGAGGCTGTCACTACTTTCAGAGCCAATGCCACTCTGAAACTTGTAGGGACTGTACAGTTGTGGGGTTTTGTTGGGGGTTTTTGCCTCACTTCTGCTTAAATTGAATATTGAACTGAAGCTTTAGGTGTACGTGAGCCTAATGCATAGTGGTGTTTGGAAAGGATACCGGCTTGCTCCGGAAAGTGTCCTTCTACTCAGCACGTGGGAGCCAAGATCTGATTGACCATTCTTAGGAAAGTATCTAAAACCAAGGAAGTGAATTATGATACGATACTTTAGCCCAATGGCTGGAAGGCGGTACAGGTGAAGTTTTGGGTTCTGCGGCCTTGCCCTCATGCAGGAGGAGGCCGCCCGTCTGGGGACACGGAGGGTCCAGCGTGTGGCCTCACAGTTTCCCGGGGCACTGGCTGTGTCCCTGGAGGAGCGTGTCAGCACCTTCTTTGAACGCTGTGATGTGTGTAGGAATCATCAAGCCGAATGGGAAGAAGCGACAAAAAGCAAGAACCTCTCTCTTGGGAGCTGTTCTTCTAAATTTGCTGCTTTTCTGGGAAAGGGAGGTGGGGCTGAGCTGCAGACCTTGCCAGGCACTACGTCTTACAAGAAGAGCTGATGGAGTGAACCAAGTCTGAGCCACAGGTGGCAGAAGGGGAAAACACCTTGCCTAGGGTTCCCTCCCTGGGTTAAAAGGATCAGGTTTTAGGGATGTACAGTGTATGTACCTGGGGGTTTCGTGGCTTCGTCTGCGTGTGCTGTTGCAGCAGTATAATCCCCGTTGGTTTGTAAAGAGAAGCAGCACTTCAGAGCTGCATCCTTTGCAGAGAGACACGGCATTTCTGAGCAGCGTTCCTGGTAATTCACGTGGAGGCTTCTTCCATTTCACAACCAGGCTGGGCACACTCGTGTGGTGAGATAGGAAAATTGCCTGATAAAAAGTAATGGGTTAATTTTAATCATTAGTTTGATGTAAACAGACTGTGAGATACAAACACGGTGACAGCAATTACAGAGCTCTTGGATTAATTGGCTTCTTGTTCCGGGAAGGCAGATTATCTGGGACACTGTCACAAGTTCTGTTCTCGCTCGGATGATGTAAGGCAGCGTTGAACTGTGTGCACTGGAGCAGCCCCGACGTCCTGGGGCAACCTTGAACTGTTCACCTCTGGCCGGCGAGGAGGAGCGAGAGGGAGGCTTAGAGCGCTTGGTCCCGACAAACCCGCTCGCCCTCCGGATCAGCTGGTGGTGCACGGGGCGTCCGTGCGTTCCCGACACCGCGCTGACCGGTCAGGGAGCAGACTGGGCGTTGGCTTTGCAAACCGTTCTTACCAATTTCACAGGCACCCCTCTAAGACAGCGGGGTCACTTTGGAGCGCTTGTTTCAGGTGAACATGATCCTCAAATATCGCTTAGACACACCTTTCTCCTGCTGGATGAGGCACAGAGCTGTATTGATGGGCAACTGCTGCAGAAGTCGGTGGCCGAGGTTCCGTGTCGGTAGTACCCCAGGTCAGCACTCGCAGGCTGTTTTGTTACTTGCTCAGTGGATTTGAAGAGTGTTTAGTCACTCCATCAGAACAGAAGTCTGTGCTATGCAATGCGTTAGTATCTGCTGCATCCGAAATCGCTCTATGCCGAAATTGACTGTTCCTTCTGTGTTTCAGGTGCCAATATTGAAACCCATGGACCTAATGGTAGAAGCGAGTCCCAGAAGGATATTTGCAAATGCACATACTTACCACATAAACTCTATTTCAGTCAATAGTGATCATGAAACATACCTTTCTGCAGATGACCTAAGAATTAACCTATGGCATTTAGAAATCACAGATAGAAGTTTTAGTATCCTTTTTTGTTATCGACGAACACCGGGGCACATCGAAGTTGTGCATGTTCAAGAGCAGCACTTTAATTTTACCAATTAGAGTGGGTGTTTGAATCTAGGGATTAAAATGCAGGGGTTTAAAATCTGGAGGTTTAATTCGATGAAAGCAGGCCTTGGGGTGCTCTCATTCCTGCCTGAGTGCAAGCAGTCTTTCAAAGGAAAACTGCCAGTGGAAACGTCGTAGGTGGTTTGATTTCTGAAGAGAAATTGAGGAATTTTGGGAACATCCTTTATTTGTGGTGTTCAGTCAACTGAAATAAGAGTTGAAAGATTTGAAAGGTAGATCTTTTGTACTGTGGGTGCTTCTTTCCAAAGCTTAAGGTCTCTTACCTGTTGAAGTGACACTTCTCTTAAAACGAGTTTCAATTTTTTCTCATGTCAAATCGTCTCATTAACTGCAGAAATAAATTTCAAATCTTCTTGCAAGCCTGTGTATCCAAAACTAACAGTACGTCCTACCTTGACAGGTCAGAAGTGAAATACAAGTTGCAGAGGTACTGAGTATTAAAGAGGTCCTATGTGAGTTTTGTGAAGCTGTAAGTACATAGAGGCGGTCTATTCAGTGGTCGATAGGAAGCATTAAGAGAAGGCTTGAGAGGAGGCTGAAATTATCTCCAGCATCTGTTGAAGTTGATTTTAAAAATATAGATATATTAAATTCTTTTAAACTACTTGGGTCACTTTGTGTAGATTGTGCACGGTGGAAATTAAGATCCTGCCCTGGTTTCCTACGTGGTGGTTTTAACGTTTTTCAGTCGTCATCTGCTAGGAGCGCTTTGCACGTGAAGCGTTGGATGCCTTTACAAAACCTCCGCAGACATTGTAGATATTAAGCCTGCTAACATGGAGGAGCTGACAGAAGTGATTACAGCTGCCGAGTTCCACCCTCACCACTGCAACGTCTTTGTCTACAGCAGCAGCAAAGGAACGATCCGGCTCTGCGACATGCGCTCCTCGGCCCTCTGCGACAGGCATTCCAAATGTGAGTGGGGGCGCTGGTTTGGGGCTGCTTGCTCTGTGTTCATGCGAGGTAGAGGGTGCAGGCGTTCTGTCACGAGCGGACGTGCCGTGTGCGGCTTGGTGGTGAAGAGCACACGAGGTAAGGGTGGTAGTTGTGTAGAATGGAACGTTTTAATTGTCTTGTTCTAGGCCATCAACAAGCAGAAGTGTAGCATGAGACAATTGACGATCTGACTCTGCTCCTGTTTACCCATTTATGCACCATAAACTGATGGGAACAAGTGCTTTTGGCACCAGTGAGACCTGTCTTCTGTCCAGACTCAGTCTTGGTGCTTCTCAAAGGTATCTGCTTATCAAATGCCAGTTCAGGGCAGTTTATTCACCTTTGTGCGTTAGGAACGGGGCTGATGCTGCCAGGGCCCATTGACTGGGGGACCGTTTGCAGCCCCGAGGGCAGAGCTAATCCCTAAGAATACGCGCTGCGTTCGGAGCAAGCAGGAAAGGTGGATGCTCGTGAGCCTGCTGGGCCGTGAGCGGCCGTAGGCGGGGAGTGCCTGTCCTCTGAGGTCGGGAGGGCGACGGCCTCGGCCTCACCCGCAGCCTCGTGGCTCTTGCTCGCTGCTGGAGCTGTTGAGGCTTACTAGTGTGGCTAGTCCGTGCTGTGCTGGCAGGGGAGCGCTCTGTGGCGCAGGTGAGGTTTTCTGGCTGGTGGAAGGAGGCGTTTGTGCAGTGGGAGAGGTAGGACGCTCAGCCACTCCGTCTGTCTGACTTGGTGTTGCGTTAAGTTGCTCGGAAGCACGTTGGTTTCTAACGGCTTGTCGCTGAGAAGCGCCCTGCTGAAAGGGGTCTGTCAAAAACGAAGCAAGGAGGTCTGGCAGGTTGTGTCCTGAACCGTTAACTTTGGGTTAAACAGTGCATTTCCTTACCGGCTGCCTGAAGCGGCACAGCTCGCGTTTGGAGTGCAGATCCTGCCCCTTGGGGTCAGCGGGGGGTTGCACAGCTCTCGCGCAGACCTAGAGCCCAGCGCGTTGTACAGCAGCCTCGACACGCCCGGCTCTGCAGTGAGATGCTGCGTTTGGGATGCTGGGGTTTCCGTCCGCCCTCGCTCAGCACCGGTTGTAGATCAGTGTGATGTTCGCTGCACCCTTGTGCTGGTTTTTAACTCTTTTCTCTCCGATTCACCCCCAAGACCTGTGGATTGCAGTTTGCTGATGCCATGCTCCAGTTCAGAATGCAATCCGATGACTAGGGCGTGACGTTGTTTAAAGATTACTTCTAAAAGTATTTGACAGCAAGTTCCTTTAAAGACAAACTAGTCTATTGGTTTAAGATTTTTCCAAGCACCAAAAAGTGTTCGAAGCTGTACAACATGGTGTTGGTTTCATTTGTAATTGTGTCTTCTGTCTACAGTTTTTGAAGAACCTGAAGATCCTAGCAGCAGATCCTTTTTTTCAGAAATAATATCATCGATATCTGATGTCAAATTCAGTCACAGCGGTCGATACATGATGACAAGAGACTACCTTTCTGTTAAAGTGTGGGATCTCAATATGGAAAACAGGCCTGTAGAGACATACCAAGTATGGTGTTCGAGTTTTCTTAAATAGCCCTTCTTTTCCCTTCTCTTCTTTTTCTTTGTATCTAATACCCATTTAAATGTTCCAACAAGGTTCACGAGTACCTTCGAAGCAAGCTTTGTTCCCTTTACGAAAACGACTGCATCTTTGACAAGTTTGAGTGCTGCTGGAACGGTTCTGATAGGTAAGGGGGTCGTTTGGGTTTGGGTTTTTCCCTCAGCCTTAGGAATTCGGTTTCCAGTCTCGAAAGCCATCAGCAGTACTTAGCTTTAAGAAGGTAATTAGTTACATTTAAAGCAACTGGAGTTTTGTGGGGTGGTGTTTTTTGGTTTTTTTTGTTTTTTTTTGCAAAAAGATGTCATTTTTTCAATCCTTCACCCTCCAGTCGGAGAAGCGGAATAAACTTCTGTGTGTCGGTTTGCTTCTGCTCTGAGTTATTGCCGAAGGTTTGTATAGGCAAGACTGGCTGTTCCAGGCCGCGAAAATGTGACTCGATTTCGTTCTTGAAGTGTGTGCAGGAGCGTGCGCTCGGTGTCTGGCGAATGGCATCTCCTTCCCGTGCTTCCCGTGGCCTGAAGGAGGTGAAGCCGCGTCAGGC